GCGCCCCCGGCGGCGCGCCCACCCCGGGGCAGAACAACCTCAACCGGCCGGGGCCCCAGCGCGCCACCAGCGTGAGCGCACGCGCCTCCATCCCGCCGGGGTAAGACGGGCCCCGGGCGCGAGGGTGGCTGCCCAGCAGGGCTAGGAGCAAAGTCCAATAGTTATCACAGTCATAAGTAATGTCTACAATCTATTAAGCACTCACTTTGTGCCAAGCATTAACTAAGCACCTTAATGTGTTCCCACTCATTTATTTCCATGCCTAAGGACCCGCTGAGGTAGGTACCATCATCTTCCCAAATTTACAGATGAGGAAACCCAGCGGGGAGGGTTAATAAGTTTCCTAAGATGGGCCCACAGCAGAATAATGGTGTCCGTTTCATGTTTATTATTTGTTAAACCTTATCTGCATCACCCCCTCGTTACCCCAGACAGTTCTGTCCTGCCCACGTTGCAGATGGGGCGGCTGAGGCTGGGAGAGGCGTGGTGCTTTCTGAAGGTCACCTGGTTGGAGAGCAGGGATTGGAACTCCCCAGACCTGTGGGCTGGTCTGTGCTGTGTCATCCTCGAGTGTGTGTAGAGGATTTCCCCTGCCCCAGTCTGTGCCGGTCTCGTGTGGAGGCTCGTGCGGGTGCTCGCCGCTGTCCAAAATACTTCCCTGTGGGCCACACCTGGACTGTCGCCGTTACTTTGGGGGAATAATCTGGTTTTCACGCTGGGCTCCAGGGACTCCTGGGGTGACCTGGAGAGTGGCAGGGGGTTGATGGGTAAGAAGTCAGTGCACAAGAGCCAGCCTCTCTGCCGTTGTTTAAACCCGAGCAGCCCTAGGGGCATCTCTTTATGAGTTGGCCTTCCCAGCAGGATTTCATTGAGGAAGGGACCCCCGGTGATACCAAGTTTGGAAATCTCTGGGTTAGCGTCCCAGGGCCCAGGAGAGGGACCCAGTGAGCCTGACAGCTGCCTGTGCTGGAGCCCGGACTCGGTCAGTCTCGGCGGAGGACTGGCCGAGAGGGAGGAGCAAGTCCTTGACCTCGGGACAGGCCAGAAGGGAGGAGACAGATACAGCGCGGGTCACGGTGCCCGAGAGGAGGGGTGGGCACCCAAAGCCTGCTCTGTTGGTATCACTGTGGCATGGCCCAGGGATTGACCGTGATGACCTGAGACCAGCAAAGGTCAGATCTGGATATGACCTTTGAGGTCACCCCATCCAGGCCTCCCCTTTCACCAAGGGAAACTGAGGCCTGGGGAAGGGAAGGGAGCCTGAAGTAGGCTGCCCTCTGTGCCTTCTGTCCCTTTGAGGCTCTGACCACTCCTGAGCAGTGAGATCTGCCCCTCCCCTTCGTTCAGCCTCAGTTTCATCATCTGTCAGATGGAGCAGGACTCCCCATTGTGTGGAGATGCTCACTGATGAGGAGGCGCTCAGTGAGGGAGGCGAACCAGCGTCTACACATCACGGTAGTTCAGCAGTGGCAGTTAGGACCACTTCCCGTATCCAGGAGGAGGGTTGGGATGGGGGCAGGAGCTGTAACGTTCCGTGGGAAAGACCCCAGCAGCTGCCACCCGCCTGCCTCGCCCTCCCCTTTCCTCCAGGCCATTCCTCTGGGGCGGGCCCAGTGCCAACAGAGAGGAGGCCTGAGGAGGTCGGGGAAGCGTTGGAGGAGGAACCCGCCCGTCTGGGGAAGACGGGGGCTGCTCATCATGACTTCTCGTAGGTGGCACCTATGCTGGCGCCCTTATGAAAAGGGAGGGCTGCAGAGCCTCAGAACCACAAGAGGAGTGAGACAGGCTGGAGTGGGGGTGGGAGGGGGCAGAACCAGCAAAGTTCCGGAGACCTCAGCAGCAGGAATTCCAGAACCTTCTCTCTTGGGCTGCATCATAACCCACTAGTGGATTACGAAATCAGAAGGTTGTAACCAGAATTTTCTTGGAATGGAATGGATAGACTAGAATAGGAAATATGGGTCTGCATTGTACACAGTAACAGTAAGAATTGTTCTGTGAATCTTCTGCTTCATTTCTACGTGTGTTTAATGGATTGCCAGGTGAGATTAATTTCTTAGTCATTGATGAAATTTGTGCAAGCTGCTGTTTTAGAGCAGGCTAGGAATTACTCAGCTTTTGTTGCTCAGTATTAATTCTCCAAATCTGTACTGTGGGTGTGTGATCACAGAGCCGAGCAAGACAAACGGGGTTCAGGCTGACGAGGAGACAGACATGTAGCGAGCAAACGAGTAAGTGAACACAATCACTGGAGAGAGAGGGAAGTGCTGGGGAGGGGGCACAGGGTGGTTTGTCGAGAGGGAACGGGGTGGGCAGGGAAGACGCCTCCGAGGAGGTTACCAGATCTGAGAAAGGCTGTTCCAGGCGGAGGGAACAGCACCTTCAATGGGGCTTGAAAGACATGGCACGTTCAGGGAAGGGCTAGAGGTGTGAGGAGGGCTGGAGAGTGAGGTGCCAGCCAGAAGGGGAAGGGCCTCGCGGCAGGGGCACTGCAAGTGCAAGGGGCTGGGAGTGGCAACAAATCCAGCAGGTTCTGGAGACCACACAGGGGTGGGGTTCCCTGCTGAAACAGTACGGGCTGAGATTTTTCCCAGGTGGGGACACAGAGCCAGGGAGTCTGGGCTTGGCGCTGCCAGCAGTGGGGAGCTATAGAGTGTGCTTGAGCTCAGGAGGGCTATGGGGGGAAGAAAGATTTCTCCCTGGGGGTGCCGATCATTAAACATGTCCTCCTCTGGCCTGCGGGAACTCCATTCTCCCCAGCCATGTGCCCCCCACCCACTTTCCATCACTGCCCCTCCTCCTCCCCCGGGGGGCTGTCTCTGACCTTCTCTGAGCCCAGACACTGGCCTGGAAAGGGGGGTGGGGGACTGACAAGTGCTCCCTCGTCCCTCCCCAGCCACGCATACCCTGCCCAGTCTCACCTCTGCCCCTCTAACGGACCCCCCCCAGCCAGACAAGCCTGTGTCGAGGCCCCCCAGCCCTCATCTGTGAGGAACCCCAGCTAAAAGTACCCCTGGCTCAGAGTGGGAGGTGGGCACAGGACCCATGGAGTCTGCTGCTGGGTGAGGGGAGAGGAGGGAGGAGGGTGGGGGTGGTAGACCCTGGTTCCTCCAGGCTGAAGCTTCCCGTTGCCAAGGCAACTGAGGCGCGGGTGCAGCCTACGAGGGGAAAGGGATGGGGTCTCTGAGGAGCCAGGCCCCCCACCCCCACCCTGGTCCCCAACACCCCAGAACCCTCATGGGCCTTCCCACAGCCGCTCTGCCTCTGTGTTTATGGTGTCCAGATTTCCTCTTTATAAGGACACCTGTCACATTGGTTAGGGCCCGCCCTGTGACGTCATTTTAGTCACCTCTGCAAAGACCCTGAGGACCGGGCTTAGGACTTCAGCATGTGGGTTCTGGAGGGACCCACTTTTACCCATAACAGTGTCTCTAGGAGTCTCCTTTTTCAGCTCTCTGAGTCTCGGTCTCTCTTTCAGTCTCTCTTTCAGTCTCTCTGTCTCTGTCTGTCTGTCTCCTCTCTCCTGCCTTTTCTTCTCCTCCCAGTAGCTCTCTCTCCCTTCCCCGGCTCCCTTCTCTCCACCTCCCTCTCTCACAGGACTCAGACAGACCCAGAGTCCAGTCTTGCCTCTGTCCTTTCCCAGTTGGGTGAACTTGGGTGCATGGCTTTGCCTCCCTAGCCTCAGTTTCCCCATCTGCCAGTCAGCTAAAACCACCACCACTGACGCCAAGCTGATGGGCGCGCAAATGCATGTAAAATCGCTTGTAGGGTCAGCGTGCAAGGGAGGCGTGGACTCTTTAGGGCTCTGACGTCACTCTTCTCACCTCCCATCCTCATCTCAGCCCTGGGTGGGAACACAACGGAGGCCCAGAGAGGGGCACTGACTTGCTCAAGGCCACACAGCCAGCGGGGCCAGAGTGTCCCCCTTGCTGGGGTTGTTTCCACTGGCCCCTGTGGCGCGGCGGGCAGCCAGCTGGCAACTGGGGCCTGGGGGACACGAGGGGTGGGAGGATCCGCCCTGTCTCCTGAGAGGGCAGCGTCCAGCGCTTTGGAACACAGCTGTGGGGCAGAGGAGCCAGACTCAGAGTTTCCACCCCACGTGGTGGGGGGGAGCGGGGGGGTGGGCAGCTGCAGGCCTGTTTCCATTTTCCGAGCGTTCACTGCGTCCCAGGCTCCATTTCACGGCTTCTGCGTGCCTCGCCTCTCTAATTCCCACAGAAACCCAGGGTGGCAGGTCCTATATCCCCATTTCTCATATGAGGAAACTGAGGCTCCGAAGGGCTGGCCTGGCTTGAGGTTACGGGATTAGGACTCTGATTCAAAACCCCCGTCAGCCAGGGTCTCGGGGCGCCCAAGGGAGTGGATGAACCTGCAGAAGCTGAGTTTGCTCCCAGACTCGGCGTCTCCTCTCCCTGTGTGGCCCCAGCTGAGCTCATCGCCCTCTCTGGTCCGCAGTTTCTGCACCTGTGAAGTGGGGCTGGCAACACAGGCCCTTGTCCAGCCCGAGGCCGGAGGTCGAGGTGCTGCATTTTCAGTGTGCGCCCTTCACACCCCCGGCAGTGGGAGAGGGGCTTCTCTCTCCCTCCCTATCAGGCTGTGCGGCGTGGCCGACCCACTCGGTGCCCTAGATGCCGGTTAAGTCCTCAGACCTCCGGTTCTCAGTGAGCCGGAGCCCCGCCCCTGTGCCCCGCCACCGGCGCGTCCTTGTTTTGCCAGTTACTTGTTTCTTTCTTTGGCGGATCCTTCTCTTGGGCTGTTTATTGCTTCCTTGTTGACTTGCGATGCTCCTTCTGCATTAAGGACGTTACCCCTTCATCTGGCAGCTTTTCCGCAGCCTGCTGTTTCTTTTTACCTCTTTATAGCCCACGTTCATCTGTTTTTTAATTAATCAATCCATATGTATTGAGGGACCACTGTGTGCCAGGCGCTGTTTGCGCCCTAGGGACACAGCTATGAACCAGACAGACAGTCCCTGCCCTCCTGGAGCTCACGTTCCACTGGGAGACAAACAAGAAACAAAATAAATAAATTCTAGAAGGTGGTGGAAAGTAGTAACCGCTACAGAGGACGAAAAAAAGAACAGAAGGGGTGTAGGGAGTG